GTGCACCCCTGGCTACCCCTTCCGGGACAAAAAACTGTGATGTTATGTTACTTGAAAGGAGACTACAAATATTGCCAATTGCCATCACGTATCCATTAACTTTATCGTTTAAAACCAAATTACTAATCAGTTTTATTGTTATTGCTCTTCTCATCAAGATCTTGCAGGATTCTAGTCTAATAAGAGGTTTCGCCATAATCTACGCGCTTGAAGTTTTTTTTTACACTTTTAAGGTCGACGTTTGACCACCATCTCGCCTGATGGTAAGCGATGATGTGGCCGACGATGGAGCACGCCTACCTATGAGCAACCTGTTCACTCGGGACTTGAAGACACCCAAGTCATATTTGACGGGAAACACAGCCTCTGGCAAGAAATTCCATTCCTTAGCGGTTCGCATGAGGAAGCTTGACGCGAAACGCTTCGTGCGAATGGGTGGAATGTCCACCATATAAGGCTTTATGATATTATTATATGTCCACCATATATATCATAAAACCCAACAACACTTTTCTCGTCCGGATCCAAACTGAAACTACTATCATACTCAGTTGTCCCATATAAAGCAATAAATTTGATATTAAATAACTTTACTTTCAACAAAGTCGTCATATCAAGCGTCAAAAACCACAAAGATCACAATCGGCCTATAAGTACTAACTACAACTTAAAGCGTAAATCGCTTAATACAATCTGTTGCAGGAAACTTTTGAGCCGCTTTTCAAAGCGCTTTCGTCGTGTTTATGACGTCATAAACCAGTAGCACGTGTCGGCCACCCGACTTTTTATGGCGATAGTTTCTATTTCATGAGTACTTGTGAAATATTTTTTGTGTAACATACCTATATTATGTCAAATGATAGCATTATTTATTTTAGCGAAGGTGAGATTTTTTGGTACCGTGCAGTCAGTGTACTACAAAGGCCTTTGTAGTACACTGACTGCACGGTTTTTTTATTTTAAGGAGGGAAAATCATCGAATATCTTCTCCCGCCTGGGTTAGGCGGAAGGGAGTGTCAGACTCTTACTGACTAAAAACCACTTCGTTCCTACTAACCACTTCGTTCCTACTCTTGCACTTCGAGCCGGAACCCCGATAATCCGTTAGGTTCTCCGTAACTGACTGCACGGGTGGTGTGGTGACTAGGCAACCGGCTGCCGCGCAACTTGTAACGGGTTCGATTCCCGCACGCAGCAACTCCTTGTGAGATCCACACATTGTTGTTCCGGGTCTAGGTGTCCTGTGTATGTGAACTTGTATGTTTGTAAACGCACCTACGACACAGGAGAAAATCAAAGTGTGGGGCAACAATTAAGAAAAAAGAAAAGTACGCTGTTAATGAATTCAACTTTTATTTAATAAATTAGAATTATGACTATGAAGCGTCGCTCGTCCTGATTGGTAATATCTTCAGTTTCTCCTATTTCCAGCATGCAAATTATTGCGCGCAAACAAACAAATCAGTGTGTTGCATTTCATCGTAAGACGATAAATGCTATTGCATTAGGCCTATATTGCTATACTCTCCTAAAACATTACTAGTTAATATCCAAATACTCAAACGCTACTCAATTATAAGTCACGCTCTTAAATATAGTTCTGTCACTACAATTTATTTGTAAAAAATAGAGATGACACGATATTTAAGTACAATTTAAAATTGAGTAGCATTTCAGTATTCGGGCATTACTCCTTTAGACTCTTCTATATAAACACTCTCCTTCAAGATAATAAAAACATTACGCCGATGATATCACTGAACACATAAAACTGTCACCATTTCACAAAACCCCATTGTAAGGGAAAATTCGAGTAAAAATCTTATAATAACAGCGTTTATCAATAAAAGAAAATAGGGATTAGGGTAAAGGCTACTGAGGGCAGTCACAAATCTTTATCGACGGACCGAATTGTGATTTATATTCCACATACGTGTGCATTTACCCTATGAGAATTGTTAGATGAAACACGGTTTAATTTACAAATTATTGTACTTCGCTTTTTGCTATGTTCTGCTGTTTGAGTGGGGGACGTTTTTAGAAGATTTACGATTTGTGTTGGAGAAATTATTTGGTTTTACTTGCCTTGTTCTTTATGTTGCCTGTAATACTTTTAGTAGCTACCAATGGTGTTCACGGTCTGTCTACGAGGAAAATTTACCCGTAATACCTTCTTTTTTTTTGGGATAAGCCGGTAAATGACCAGACGCATCACTGATGGTAATCAATTGGCGTCTCGCCCATGGACACCCAGAACACCATAGGCATTACAAGTGCGTTACCGGCCTTATGGGGATTAGGAATTTGAGGATTGTTGGGGATTCAGAGATTGAGAAGATAAGGAGGCAATTGGGCCTCCGGTAACCTCACTCACACGGCGAAACACATCGCAAGCGTTGTTTCCCGTCAGTTTACTGTGGAGCCGTAGTATCACACCCATTCGTACCGAAGCATGGCTCTCCCACACTTAAAACTATTCCCACCTTACAAACATACTTTTTAACCGACTTCAAAGGAAAAAAATAGAGGTACTCACACAGTATTATGTGTATCTTTGGGTTCTCAGTTTGACCTGTATGTATGTATGTATAGTTGTGCGCAATTATCTCGAGATTGGGTAAACCGATTTTCAAAAAACGTTTGTTCGTCTCTGTGAGGCAGTAGTATCACTCCGTCGAGCCGGCCCATTCGTGCATCTCTTTGGCGTCCATACTTAAAACACGGCTCTATCACACTTTCTTGTCGCGGAGAACCTAACGGGTAACAGGGGCTCCGGCTCGACGTGCAGGAGAAGGAACGGGTTGGTTTTTGGTCAGTAAGAGTCTGACACTCCCTCCCGCCTCACCCAGGCGGGAGCAGTCATTCGATGATTTTACCCCCTTAAAAAAAATCATACTTTCTTGTCCTGTAAACTCTTTCTGAAACTGGTTGTACTACTAGAATCGAGAATGTAGCCATAGCCGTAGCTATCGTACGCTAAAATACCATAAAATACAATTATTGCGTTACTCTTTGCAAATTGTGAAATTCTGTGAAGCATAATTTCATCGATATAATGCGATTAATTTTGCAAGACTCCATACATTATTACAACACAGTATCTACAGTACCAATATAATCCCTCGGGAATTTCAGAGAAAATTGTTGTCATTCTTTATAATAACAGTAGTATCTAGTATAATTTATAGCGCTGCTCATTCATTGGTATCGCGTTTAAATCAGCTCAAAATATGATTAACTATTATAATCTACAACAATATAAATTGTTAATTGCATTTATTACAAAATAAATAAGTTAAAATTCACTTAGGGTCTCCCAGTCATTATTATCAATTTTACGGCAAAGCAAATTATATATGTATAAGATATAAAACATCTACTAAGTTAACCTAAAACTACAAAAAAGGAAATAATATTACATTTTACCAATTCAACATCTAAACCAGGATCAGTATTATATCCCCAATCGTGTTCACAAATAAAAAACACAAGCAATAAAACGCCTTCAACTAAAACAGTTTCTTTGTCGTGTTTTTAGCTTAAAAACAAAATGTAAGTAACACCAGAATTCGAAACAAAAACCTTCTTAGTCGCTAAAGAATTGTTTGGACAAAAACGTAACCAATTCCGTTTCGGCTTAGAATTCTAGTTACGAAACTACGAAACTATTCGACGCGTTTCCTAAAATGGTAGAAAACTTTTTAAGAAATCAAAACATAGAGAATAATTTAGTTCTGTTGCCCTCGAAGGCTGCCTGCTAAGTGCTGTTTACTAGAAAGAAACACTTTTGTTTGTGCCTACAAGCTTTTAGGTACGGTTTATGGCTTCTTTTAAGAAAATGTTATTGATATGACTTTGTTTAAGAAGTGTACTTCAGTATTTTTGTTAGGTGTGTGTGACATTTTGGTTCTATTACTTTAAAACCAGCAGCTGTAGCCAAATGCCATTTAGCGCTTGTCTACTTGTAGAGTAGAAAACTAAATTATATGGGATTGATGTACGTTTTGACATTTATCAGTATCATCCCCATACATTTAGTTTTCTACTCTATCGGTAGACAAGCGCTTAAGTAGCGTTTGGCTAAAGGCACTGGATTCACTAAGGGACAAATGTTTCACGACATGTATCGGCGACATGTCAAGTGAAGCCGGCCGATTTCGCCCGACATATTATAAGGCGACAACGCGCGCCTTATGTCCACAGCGACGTTGATGTTGCCAGACATCACGACCAAAGTCTGGCAACGTCGCGCTACGTCACTCAACGTCGCTGGCGAAACATGCCGCAGGACATTGTCCCCAGTATATCCTTGGCATAATTGTAACTTAGATATTCTAGGTATATCTGTGAGCTATCATTCATCTATTTTATATCTTATTGATATCTTATTTATATCTATTCATCTATTTTATATCTGTGAGCTTTATTCATGCTGGTCTTATTAAATAAATAAGAGATGCTTAAAAAGCTTTTTTTTAAGGGGGAAAAATCATCGAATCACTGCTCCCGCCTGGGTGATGCGGGAGGGAGTGTCAGACTCTTGCTGACTAAAAACCACACCGTTCCTTCTCCTGCACGTCGAGCCGGAGCCTCGGTTACCTGTTAGGTTCTCCGCGACATGCTTAAAAAGCTAGGGTTACAATTAAAATAAATATTTTTTTTTAATCCGTATTCATTGATGTTTTTATTTATTCGAGATTTTATTTACTACTATGTCGCTCTCTGGCAAATCTTCTTTACATCAAACACAATCACTATAAATAACAAAAACCAATAAACTCAAATATTTCGTTTAAACTTTAATATAAAACAATATTAAAATAAATTCCCTAATAAACTGATATCAAAACTCATTTATTTAATGTTTCATTTCCTATAAAGTCACTTCGCCATTTAAGACGTTTACTTTTTATAAAGGTCATAAAAAATCCATTTAATATAATTAATTTCGGAGTCTTCGGCCAGTTGGGAGGAAGCCGAGGCCGAGGGCCGACAGTCGATCATTCACATTCATTCTCGTGGAGGAGTATAGCTCTTCGAACATATCGGAAGTGGTAGAAACTGAACACCACCACGATTGAGAAGAAGTATAGAACTGCAAAATAAAAAGAGTCATACAAATTTGAACCCTATTGTTAACACATAATTAAACACTGTCTTTCACGGATAGCAGATAGCATGTTTAATAGTGGTCCCATATTGGGCGCCAATACTATTTCGTCACTGAACAAAATATCTATAGTGTTTGCAAGGCATTGTCCAAATTTATGCCTTGATGTGTTTAGTGATAGGTTCAAATGCTGTGCTGTTTTTATTTTTATTTTTATCATTTTCCCACACTAGGATTTTCTCTTGTATCGTGGGTACGTTTACAATCATACAAGTTCACATACACATGACATCCAGACCCGGAACAACAATTTGTGGATCAGACAAAGAGTTGTTCCACGGCAGCCAGTTGCCCAAACACTGCACCAACCGTGCAGTCATGTGTGGTTAATTTAATGGAATTTGTAAATTCAATTATGACTTGTACTAATTCCTGTGACTCCACAATCTACACCTATTTTACGCCCATTCACGAACAAGTTTACGGCATTAATATAACATTAAAAAATACTTTACAATCAACCATAACATAACATAACATCACGCCCTTTTTCACCGAAGGGGTAGGCAGAGGTGTACTTTATGCCACTGTACAATGTAACACCCACTTTTCACTATTTACATATTATGTTATGAGTTCCATGTAATAGGGGGTGAGCCTATTGCCATATACCATGCATAATTCCAGACTCCGTGCTACTGCTGAGATTTTTTAAAAAACCTAGTAATACTTTGCCCGACCCGGATATTGAAACCGAGACCCCTTGCCCGGCAGTCGCACTTGCGACCACTCGGCCAATGAGACAGTCAAATCAACTAATATTGCAATAAAATTTTATACCACTCACGAAACGATATGACGTCACTGCGAGCGAAAATTAATAAAATTAAAAAACTTGCAACACGTCACAGCTCATGAGCCAATCAGGGCATGGCATCGTCACCGTTATAATTGAATTAACATAATATTTAAGTAATCAGGCGGAAAGGGGGGACACGGAGGGAACAAAAGTGAAGAAGAGGGAGGTTGGATACCAGCAGTTGAACCTACACTAAACTGTCGATATTTTAAACAAAAGTCAATCTTATCACAAATACATAAGGTTGGAAGTCTTTTAAAAGGGAAATTGACAAATGGGTATTACTTTATATGCTAGCGTGCGTACAATCATGATAATTAGTTTGCCAGTACACCCCATCCACTTTCATTATAAACGTCTGAATTAAGCCTTGTATACACTAGGCCATATTTGACGTGCGATATGTTGGACAACATGTTGCTCTACTTGTTGAAAACCAGGGCGGCACTTTGTTTCGCCATAATATATGTCTAAACAAACATGATCCCATCAGATGATGAGTTACCAGAAGAACTAGTGTTGATGTGAGTTCCACTTGACGGTTGCGCGTCACGTCTATACTTGACAACATGTTCTATATAAATTATTATGTTTTCGGCTTACTCACGTAGTAATTTGACGAGGAACTCGACTAGTTTCTAGCCATGCTAGAGGCTCATATTCATGAGCAGCATTTCGCTACCCGCGATGCGGCGATGTCGCGCTGCTACTGACTAAATTACTACATGAGTAAACCGAAACCATAATAATTTATTTAGTATGTCTCACGAAAATTACTATACAAACATGTTCTATGTTCAACTGCATGTTACAACGAAACAAATTAATTATATCGCGTAGAAAGATTACTTGATGGTTTTATTAGCCCTGTCCAAAGACACTCACAATACCAGAGTCACAAGCGCATTGTTGACCTTGAAAAAAGGTTATCAACATCGGTTGAAGTTGAAACATCGAACATCAATGATATTATAAATAATAAAAAGAGGTAGATATCGCACTGGCACGCAAAAATTGTTGCGAACAAAGGGCATTGACTAAAATTGGTGCCTTTCTTTTTTCTGGCGGCAGTCGATGATTTATGGAAAATATTATCTAGAATGTCATTACAAACGAAATTGTCTATGGGCTCATATATGGAAATCTCAGTCTGGACTGAGTTATGAGCGTTGAAAGGAGCTGGAATCAAACATTTTACTTTCGTTTTTTTATTCAATTTATTCATATTTTTGTCACAATTCCTACCTTCAAATTGCGCGCCACTGTACGCCGGGCACAGAAACACCAAATCACACCACAATATATCTATATTGCCAGTCGCTAATTTTTATTAGCTATTTTCTCTCAGTCGATAACTTGTGGGGTGCTTCTAGGAGTTGTGTCATGAAGCTTCATGAGTGTCAGCTGTGGTACCAGTGGTGGGTTGAGTAGTTGTAGCCGTCCAAACATCTAATAAAGTATTTTTTTGCCGTTGACTTCTGGTGGGAGACTCATCTACTTTATAATTAGCATAATCTTTTGAAGAAAGCAAACCATCGAGTTTGTAAAGTGATGGACTATACGTCAGATAAGCGCATAATTTAGATAAATGATTTTTTCGTGTTTTGACGACTGTTACTACTCAATCCGCTACTGACGCCGCAGCTGACAAACATAGCATTTCATGATAGGGCTCAGTAAAGTATTTTGCGGGTTTTTGACTGAGAGGAAATTGATCATGAAAATCTGTCATAGGCCATAAACCGTATTGAACTCAATTGAATTAAATTGAACACGCTAGCCAATCAAACGAAATGTTTTTTTTTTTTATTCAGCAGTGGTCAGTTAAACCTTACAACAAAAAAAAAGAAATAACAAACAAACAAAATAATTATAAAAGTCCACAATAAGCTTTATTATATTCCTTGAAATCGTCTATAAACATTTATTACAAAATATTTCTGACAAGCAAATGAAGAAATATGCGTTGTGTACGGTCACCATCTGTGGTCACCATCAACAAAATCACAGGAATTATATAGCACTATTTTCACATCTTTGAACTGATTTAACTCGGTTTGGACTGTGTTTTTGATATAAGACCCCGTACATTTTTTTGTTTGTAATGTTATTCTGCATCAGTTTATCCACATCCGATCAACTGCCGCGAAAAAATGAAAAGGCACCACGCTCCATACAAATTTGGTCATTGTCATTTAGACAATTGTCGTAATTTGTTTTAGCTATCTCTTTCTGTACCATACTTTCCGTATTATCTGTCGCACGTAGTTGAAAATGACATTTAAGTACATTTGTAATAAGAACGCAACAATTTTTGGACACCGCTTAGTATGAACGTAGCGTATCTTCTTTATAATATCATTGTCGAACATGTTTAGCGTCAACTGTTGCCCAGTGAAAACGGAACGTTATAATGCACGATCGTACCTCATAATTAAACATTATTTATTCACTCATCTTTTGATACATTGTTATTAAAATAATACGTTAATTAGCTGTTTGTATCGCTAGAATCGAGGCATATTTCCCTTGGCAATTTATTACAGTAATTCGCTTATAATTTAGTATGGTTTATTTCATCACTTCCGATGCTTAACGTCGTGGTGGACTGGAGGTTTAGACGCTCGCTTCTCATGCATGAGAGTGCGGGTTCGAAACCTACCAACGGCAAGCACGACTTTTTCCAAATTATATGTACATATGTACTTTCTAAGATTATCTAGACATCACTGACAAACGGTGAAGGAAAACATCCTGAGAAAACCTGGGGTTATAATTTCTAATTATGAGTTTGAAATTGCCAACCCGCAGTGAGCACCTGGTTATTAATGCTCAAACCTTCTCCGTGCGAGAAGGGGCCTTTGGTCAGTAGTGGGCATTTTGATGATGATGATTAAATAAGCCACAGTACTGTATTATAACATTGTGTCTTTTAAGCTCTGAGAGGGTAGACAGGGGTATACAGTGAAACCACATTTCCTCCGTCATTGTTCAATAGGGTGTGGGCCAATTACGTACTATATTACTGGACACAATTTCAGACTCAGATTCATTATTGTAGTCATAAATTGACCCCACCCGACTCGGAAATTGAATCTCTTGCAAAACTAATATTTTAATATAACAACATATCAAAACATCACGCCTTTTATCTCCGCAGGCAGGCAGGAAGGTAGGCAGAGATGCACATTACAGCACTTAATGCCACTGTACAATGTAACACCCACTTTTCACTATTTATATTATGATTCCATGTAATAGGGGAGTGAGCCTATTACCATATACCGGGCACAATTCCAGATTCCGTGTTACTACTGACATTTTTTTTGAAAATCCACTAATTCTTTGCGCGACCCGGGAATCGTACCCGAGACCCCTTGCCCGGCAGCCGCACTTGCGACCGCTCGGCCAACGAGGCAATCTTTGCGGTATTTGAATTTAATTGGTAGTATTTGGACAATGTACTTAAAATTGCATATACGTATAGACGTAGATAATGTAATATTATGATGGAGCATAAAGAAATTATTAAAAAATTAACTTACCGGCGCCCAGAAACGTTAGGAGTCCAGTAACACAAGCTAAGTTCGCAAGTCTGTGCTCTTCAGCTTTTATTTTTGGAGCTGAAAACATTAATAAACATAATTATATTAATTCCATAATCAATATCATAATTTCGTTTTCAGAGGAACATACGAGACATACTTTTTATGTGTCACTCGCTGTCGAGGAATTATGATCGCTAAGGTAGTTGAAATAAGGTTGTAACTTGCACAGAGTGGAGGCTTTTATGAAAATGGCACGGTATAAATAAAAATTCACTTGTTGTTTGTTACTCAATCACCTAAACACAAATAACTAAATGAAACCAAATAAAAAATGTCCTAATAGGAAATTATCATTAGCAATAACATACTCTACTTTTAAACCCGGTAACACAGTCAAAACCGCTGGCTAAACCTAGTACAGTGGCAAGCACATCAACCTACTCCAATTTTTACCATTGGATTTTTGACTTTACTAAGCGATAGGGTTGAAACTCTAATAAAGAGAATTAACGGAAAAGATTAGTTTGACCTGCTGCCCGCTATTCCCAAGGCACGTTCCACATTTCCAATTAGGTACAGCTAGGGCATAAACATGAGTCGGGTCCTTCCATCAGCTAGTTGCATTAATATTCCACCCTGTATCACAGTGGTTCTCAACCGCTGGTCCGCAAAAGGCGAAATGCGGTCCTCACAGAAGACCGACGTGAAACAACAATGTATTGTGTTTCGTGGTATAAGTGAGGTTACCGGATGCCCAATTACTCTATTAAAAAATCCGCCCTTTATAAATAAAGTAATAATAACATTCATCGGTACTACTAGAATAGTTTTAGAGTTGTCTTTGCCTAAAAAATATTGAGAACCCCTGCTGTATCAGACTGTTTACGTAGGATGATCATTCATAAATAACCGGTGATGTTCACATAAATAGAGGTCAATAGTGGTCAGCGTTTCTTGAGGGAAAGGGATGATAAACATGCTTGTTATATTACTGTATCAGTTAGAAATGGTCGGCAAGGGATCCGTAATGTCAGCTGTGTTGTCAATTTCATGTAACAGCCACCAAGTGTGGGAGAGCCATGCTTCGGCACGAATGGGCCGGCTCGACCGATAGCTTCCACGGCCTCAAAGAAAACCGACGTGAAATAACACTTGCGTTGTGTTTCGTCGTGTGAGCTAGGTTACCGGAGGCCCAACTACAACACCCCCCCCCCCCCTCCCCATTTCCCCAATCCCTGATTTTTCAATATTTGTCAAATTCCTAATCCCCAGAACGCCGGTAACGTAACGACTCTGGTGTTTCAGTTGACCATGGGCGGCGTTGATTGCTTACCATCAGGTCTGGTTCGTCTGGTCGTTTACCCACGCATAAAAAAAATCTGCCGGTTGTATTTGACATTTACATTCAACGTATAAGCCAGTGTGTGCTTTATAAATCGAATTCCAAAAACTAACTCTCGGTTTTCAAAATAGACTTGATAGGTACAACAAAACACGACTACAAACAAGCCTTAAAATATACACCACACTGTACAGAAGCATCACATTCACCATTCGCATAAAAACCAAACCTTCTGAGACAATTCTCGTCAGAATCACTACACATCGAACTATACATAACCAGTTTATCATGGTCTGGCTTCATATGACTTTTCTGCACATACAACGGTCAGCCTAAACTGGTTTGGCATAGCTTGATATGAAATCGTGTGTTTCACAGAGCCCTTACATTTACATTAAGTCTAGAGGAATCCGTTTGTTCCATACTCAATTACATATCGAAAACCGATACGACCAGTGGGAAGACACGGCGAATTTATGTAAATGGTTCTTACTATACGGGACATGTTTCTGAAGGCCGTCTGAAACGATTGCGTAATGTAAAATGGTTATAAAGAACAATGCTGTGCTGTAATGCTCAACATTTCTAAATCTTATAAAGAGTAGAGATGTAAGTACATTATTAGGAAAAGGTCTCAAAGAGAGTGGATGGGCTATATGAAAAAAGGATGACAAATGTCAAATAAATTATGACAAAATGAAAGAGGATTGCACTGACCCCAAACATTTTAGGATAAAGGCTAAAAGAGATGTAAAATAAAAAAATAGATTAGTGTTATTATATGCTTATATAATCTGTGGCAAGCTGGCACCTTTTAAGAATGGAAACCTATTTATATCCTTCTTTTGTTTTGTTGATATGTAAAGAAAAACACACTAATTCTTTAGATTCTATGCCATATTTTATCTGTTAACTCTATAATATCTGGTAATTAAAAAAATAAGATTTTTTATGTGTAATGGTTTACGGAAAAGTACAATGTGCTAATTTAGAAAAGACATTGTTTAAATTGAAGATAAAACTGTAAAGGAATAAACTTTAAAAGTCGTTTCTTTGATAACAGGTAAATAGGCAATAAGATAAAAGTGTAATTTAGTTTATTTATTGTGTTCATGTTTTTAACAATAAATCTTTGATTACAGAGCAACGCAAGTTTATATTTTTTAAAACTACATTGAAAGATTCTTAAATAGAAGATATATAACAATTAAGTAGTATTGCTATAAAGCTAATTTATATGGTTCTGTGGAATTGTACAACAGCACAAGTTATTATAATTATAACTTACAACCTTTCCGTTGCACGTCAGATATCGGAAAATCAACTTAACAACTAATAATTTCTTTGAAAAAAATATCAATAATGATTTGCCTGAGTTAGATCGTAAGACGGTTCAACAAAACAAATATTCTATTCGAAGCTTGAGAATCACTGTCTTATATGAAACGGAAAACTTTTATACAAGTAAATATATTATAAGGACTTTTTACAGACGCAGTTCACCGCATTGTTTCCGATATTTCGGGACCCCAACCTTAAAAGAGGTTTTACTTCGATACAAATAACGTAAAGTACATACCTACTGACTCCTTTCTATTTGTATAACCACCATGTTCCCGGAACAGTAACTTAAATCGTTTATTTATAAGTATGGGAAATAATAGAATTTGTTTTTGGTACCGAGAGAAAACACATGGTACTGTGTACAATGAAAAAGGAGCTTACTTATTTACTATAAGAAAAAAGTATATTATTAAATGGAATGTTGGTATGGAATATTAGTATTCTCGGAACTCGGAAATCCATGAGTACAGAGAAATGGCAATCAACCTCGACAAAGCAAAGCGCTACACTGACGACTACAAACAATGTTTAACAACCCACCCTAAACCGCTATCTAACTTGATCTTGCACCGTAACCAGATTAAAAAAGTCAAGAGAGCAAACGTGCTGCCTTAATATGGGGAGAATGAGAACTCTGTCTCACCTAACCTTATCATCATCCAACTCACCTGATTATAGTCTAGACGACTAATCACAGGTTTATATACATAAACATAATATGTTTCCATATTATGGAATATGGACTATCGTTCTGGACTACACATGGATGTCATTGTGCCAATACTTATGTGGACGAGTTTCAGCTGGCATTAAGCCGATAGATCACGGACCCGATACAGATGGGAACGGCACGCATTGAGAGGAGGTTGTTCTCTATGGAGTCTTAACCACCAGCAGTTTGTACCGTATTCCCGATATCGGTAGATTTCTAATAGTTTGGTTAAGTTATCTGAGTTAGAATCGGCTATGTGACGTAGATTTGATGATAAAACACCTCGTAACTTTCAAAGAATTTTTCTATGAAGTAATTTATATCAACTTACCATCTTTGAACCTGATACAAGCTCGTCCGATCTTGGTGACGGCTAATGACACCAGACCCAACCAGACGATCGTCGCCACAAGCAGGTACACCTGGAATCCAAACACAAGAAATTATTGGTAATTTTATTGTTTTGACCACTAGATGGCATTAATACAATTAAAGGATAAAGTAGGTAACTGTATTTTTCATTAGGCCAATGTTTGGTCGTTACAAATAATGTTCAATTACTAATGCGACCAAAATGATTGTGTTATTGTCAGTTAACAAATGACCATTTAGTCACTATATCTATAAACATTTAGAAAAAATAAATAACTTTAGTCCCCAAAAAAATTTAGTGATTGTCACTAGATTTGCTTTACTGGGTTAGCCCAGATGCGATTATTTCATCCTGTGTGCAAACTAGAAATATAATTATGAAAATAATTAAAATATATTTACAGACAAAGACGTTGAAAAAGGTGGGCATAATGGCACTTAGAAACGATTGAAGCACCAAAATGTCAACGGGTTATCTATGTGTGCGTGTGTAATGGGTTACCACATTACCAGACTTTAGAAAATGACAGATGTCCTTCGTGTCAATGTGCATTCTACGTGTAAGGGCCGATTTTTCCAACGATAGATAAATTTTAACTGAGAAATAACTTTGATTATTTGACAATTGGGTAGTTTCCAGGGTATCAAAATTGAAAATCTAATTAGTCCGTCAGTTAGGTATCTAATGAAAAAATATTAGACATATTTTTTATTTTATCGTATTAAGTTGCAATACTTGATGAAATGGCGCTAAGTTTAATAGTGGGAGATCGTTACGTCATAACGTGCTACAAAATGTGACACGCTGTGACGTCATACAATATTGGAAATTAATATGTCGTCGAAAGTATTTAATTTTCTGAAAAAGAAAAAATACGTGTCTAAAATTTTAAATCAATGTACCAGACGGACATTAAAATAAAATTTAGGAAACTACCCTATTATTTCTTGCTAAAAACTTTCAACTGTCAATTTTATTCTACAGTTGAGAATTAACTGATGATTGAAAAATCGGCCTTAAGTCTATATTGACCAGGTATCAAAAGACTATGTTCGACTTCTTACAACGTCCTTATACATAAAATCGTTAATTAAGCACTGTTACGTACCAGCATAGCTCTGCAGTTCTCCGTCAACGCAACTACTATAAGTAGTACCCCCGCACCAGTGATGCCACTTAAAACAATTCCCGTTGCGAGACTTATAACTGCAACAGAATAGTAAAAAAGTATTTATAATGCAATTAGAGTTCGCCGAAACTGATGATACGACGAAGCAATTTAGATAAGGCAGCAACGCACTCGTTATACCTGTTGTAATGGTGCAAGCGTACTTAGCCTACTGGTACCATTAGGTGACCAGTAAGCTTCATTGACTACCTTTACCTTGTTGGCCGAGTAGTCACAATTGCGACTGCTGGGCAAGGGTCTCGGGTTCGATTCCCAGGTCGGGCAAAATATTACTGGGTTTTAAAAAAAATCTCAGTAATAGCAGTGCTACTGCTGGGCAAGGGTCTCTGGTTCAATTCCCGGGTTGGGCAAAGCAGATATTACTGGGTTTTAAAAAAAATCTCAGTAAAGTTGTGCCCGGTATATGGCAAGAAGCTCACCCCCTATTATCTGGGACTTAGAACATAAATAGTGGTGGGTGTTACATTGCACAGTGGCATTAAGTGTCGTAACCTCTGCCTACCTTTTCGGGGATAAAATGCGTGTTATGTTATGTTGTTATGTAAGCTTTATTGCTACCATCTACACTTACGTTAAATGAGATTACCAGAGGCCCAGTTCCCATATCTGTAATCCCCAATCATCACGATCCAAATACCCTATTCCTAAAAAGCGGGCAACGCACTTGAATAACTCCTTTGGCATTGCTGGTGTCCATGGGCAGTGTCGATTGCTTACCATAGGGTGATCCGTTCGATCCGCTATATGCCATAAAAATACCACTGGCATTACAGTAATGCTAATAGATGTCACTTACACTGAGTAGTAGGCGTCATATGCATTTCATCATACTGTGGTCCGTGGGTCAAGATGAGGGTCAGTAGGATGGACCCCACCAGAACTTGGGAGAAGGCTATCAAGAGTACACCTGGGAACAGGTTGCAGATGCCGCAGCAGCTCTCGAAGTGACATCCTGGCTTGTGGATGGCGAAGTGGAGAGGGACCTGTATGAGAAAGATACAAAAGAAGACAGTTTTAAAATTAATTAATTGCAAATTGAAATCTATTCTGGATACTTTAATTTATTTGAAACACAATTAGCTTTAATGCATCACAATAATTGCAAATATTTGCTAATTCTTCTCACTGAAACGACTTACTAGATTCGTACTTAATACTCATAAATAAATAATATTTCTAATTAGTTGACAAGGCAAACTTCGTACTGCTTCATTTTTTTTTTTATATCTCGCCTTTTAAACCTCCCCTGGATTTCCACTTTCACGACCATTTCAAGACCAAAATTTGCCAAATCGATTCAGGCGTTTTTGAGTTTTAGCGAGACAAACGAACAGAAATTAATCTTTATGTATACAGACAGTACGATTTAACCTCTTTGAATATCTTTATGTTCAAGACTTGTAAGGTAGACAAAAATATTATGAAATACGAAAATAAACCTAATTGCAGTAACAGAAAACACTTTTCTTATTGAGTCCCTAAGCAAAATTATGAGCAAGAGAAAACAAATCCACAAACTAAAAGGGACAACGAACATTTATTGTTCCTTTACTACATACGGTTGAAGCCAGAAGAATACAGCGTGTTCTCATTCTTCTAGCACAATACATCACATTTGTACAGAACTATGTCACTGCAAAGTTACCGCGTACTATGTAAAGCCTTTGCAAGTTGTGGCCACGAAGCTTGTTCCTTTGACTTGCATTTCTAAAGGTGTTTCTAAATGGGCAATTTTTTTTAAAGTTACTCGTTTGTATCAAATAGGTAGGTAATCCTCTGCGCGACAATGAGCCTCTTCTTCTATAAAGGAAAGAAAGAGGTTTATATACCTTCATTTCCACGGGTCTCTCTCTCATTTCAGATATATTATCCCCAAGCGGTAACCGGTGACCGCCCTCCACTAACTACATTATAGACCTTATTTTCGATGTTTAGAGACTACTTTTGTATGAACAAATTTAGGGGATGATATTTCAACAGGTTAACGAAGAAGCTGCGGATGACCTAGCGGGTTACCGGGGCTCCGGTTCAAAGCGTAGAAATGGGGTGGTTTTTTGTCAGTAAGACTCTGACACTCACTTTCACCTCACCCAAGGCGGAAAACGTCATTGGATGATTTATCCCCCTCAAAAAAACGTTTACCAGAGAGTGCTGCTGACCAGTCTCTGTCAAATATATAGTCGGTTAGTCCGCTATTATGACAATTTCGGAAAGATTAGGGGATGGTATCAAACTTGAGACAACAGAAAGTAGAGTTCCCTAAAATCGGAAAAGGACCTCCTCCGACCAGGCGTGGTGTTCATGCCTGGCGGGCTTTCTGCCCAACAGCTGTTCGATAGGATTTTCTATCCATGTTTATTCCCATCTAAACTTCACATGTGCAATGTAGAATTTGTGACGTCACCTGTACAATTTTATCAAATTTCTATGTCCGGGCGCTGTCATTTGGCAAGTGTCGTGTTTTTTTATGGAATAGGAGGCAAACAAACAGACGGATCACCTGATGGTAAGCGATCGGCGCCGCCCAAGGACACACAGAGGAGTCACAGGTTGTTACAAAACCATTATCAAACGTATTCTATCCTACTATCACTGTCTTGCCCATTTAGAAGCACCTTTACCTCAGTTCGTAACTTCAAAGATGGAGAAAGATGTAAATAAAGAAAAGTAATGAAGTTACCTACTGTAATTTTAACAAGCATTTTGAATTCAACGTTTGACATTCTATTATAGCGGAAACTAGGTGGCACTTGTAATTATGAGTTTTGTGTATGATAATAATCCCCCCCCCCCATTTTATTTAATGTGTTTTTTTTAAGGGGGGAAAATCATCGAATGACTGCTCCCGCCTGGGTGAGGCGGAAGGGAGTGTCAGACTCTTACTAACTAAAAACCACCCCGTTCCTTCTCTTGCACGTCGAGCCGGAGCCTCGGTAACCCGTTAGGTTCTCCGCGACTTATTTAATGTGTGTGCCCATATATTCGGAGACGGACTGACGTTATGTATATGTTTAAGTATTTTGCACTAGCGCATTGACTTATTCTTTTATCCTACCAGGATACCGGAGTTTAAGACATTTTTATCCTACTATGGTGAAGCCTATTTGCTTATAATGTATAATCTTGTTACCCTCTACCCGTTTTTTACCCATTTACGATATAATATCTAGGTACTTAATTAATCATGGTCATTTTTTTTTAATAATTAAGATGTGAGCACGGTCTAGGACATAGGCTTTGCGCTATGCGAGTATAAACCACTATTTCATCAGTATTTTTTTATGAGCCAGGCTCGCCACAACCTCCCAAAACTGCTGCAACTCCTGTAAGCCAGGATCTCCAGGTGATACAACCATGAATACACCGGAACACTGAAATCCGCATCTCAGGGACATAAATAACTGTCTTGGTTCCCGCAACGAAGTGAATCAGAAGATATTATAAGAGGAGAAGAAAAAAAACGATAGTTTCCACTTTCCTACTACTCCATAAGCATATATAAATGTCGCGGAGAACCTAACGGGTAACCGGGGCTCCGGCTCGACGTGCAGGAGAAGGAACGGGGTGGTTTTTAGTCAGTAAGAGTCTGACACTCCCTTCCGCCTCACCCAGGCGGGAGCAGTCATTCGATGATTTTCCCCCCTTAAAAAAAAAGCGTATATAAATAATACTATTTCAGGACCTGAAATCCTGCAGTACTTCTGCTTAAACTTCTATGTTTTTCACTGGATCTCGTATAGTCTTCCGTTGTACTTTTCGGCATTTTGTAAACAATATTAAAAAATTATGTACAATTTTTGACACAGATCGTAGTTTGACAGCTGATATTATATTTCTTTATTTAAATTGAGGCCTTCGTTTTGAGGTTCAGATATTTTTGTAATAAATCTTCTTCGACAAATTATTTTAACGACATGGACGATAATGATGTTGAAAAGAAAGCGGACTTAGGGCCAAAACACATAACCGCGTTGCGTCGCCGCAACGCTAAAATCGGCTGTTTGCGTTGCGGCGTTGCGGCGTCGTGAAAAAGAGCGTTGTATTGTGGTTCGGTAGGGTAACCAGTTCATCGTGTTTTTTATTGTGGATAGACGTGTCTCTGTCTTCTACCATCGTGAAAAACTTATTCCTTATTTGTTATTAAGAAGACATTATTACTGTGTTATGCTGGAACGAGCGCTGCGTTGTGGCGCTGCACCGCTTAAATCGGCGGTGACGCTACTGTCGATTCTAGCGGCGCGGCGCCGCAACGCCGTTATGTGTTTTGGCCCATAGTCTTTTAAAACAACGACTGTGGCACTTGTTTACTATAGACTTACATGAAGAATACACACACATTGACACGAAATACACCTGGCACGTGACATGGCCCATTATTACTCTTCATACACTACGGTGTTACACACTATTTCAACGTCCTTGACACACGATATAGTCCATCTACGAAACGTAGAAATTACCCCCCCCCCCTCCTTTATGTATGCAAAGGAGGTTATTAGTCTAGGAGTACACTGTCACGTATGATGTACCCCATTAATCGAACAGAATAAGCTTCAGCACAAAATGCACTCTACTATTCAATTTCCTACCATCGAATCTATTCGAACAGTGATTGCACAAATTAGGGTTGTGCCACATAAACAGTAATTCGATAAATGTACGCTGTATATGAATAGTGAGGTGCAAACATCGATAGAGAGCGTCAGCGAAACGCTTGCAGGTAAACACGAGTGCGAGCAGCCTTTGTTGGAGGTACGACTATGATTTTTGGAATCATAGGAACTTGAAATGTAAAGCTTTTTTAAAGACTATTTTGGACTAAATAAGTTATTATGTTTTTCGGCCTATTCACGTAATAATTTGACGAGGAGCTCGACTAGTTTCAAGCCATGCTATACTCCGTCTGTTTAGGTAGTTAACTATTTGTAAACAAACCATAAAAAGGGTTCTTTATAGTTGACATTTCAATGATTCAAAATACTTCATAAGAAAATAAAATTGTTTCCCTTTTTACGACAGTTTTCTCTATTAAATGTTATGTTTCTGTTCCTTTTCACTTATTTCTTAGTAAATATTATATATATCTGCTTGAGGATATTAATTTAATAACATTTATTAAATAGTATAACATTTCATTACAATAGACACCATAAAGAGCCTAAAATCCCAGGTATCCAAAACTTTTCTTTAAGAACGAAGCAAAATAATGTTGTCAAATTAAAGAGTACAACTAAGATGTAGCGCGACAATGAAAGTAGCGTGTATTACGTTTAGTCGGTTAATCAGGCGCCATTGACAGCTCTTTCGTCGTTTGCGCTCGCGTTCCTATTTTGTTGAATTTATCTTGTTTCTTTGTTTTGTTTTTGTTATTAAGTTATTCAAGTTTAGGTTATTCATCGTTTGTAATTAATGTGTTCAAATATATTGAAGAAACTTGGCCCAAAGACACATATCCATACAAGAAAGAAATCCGTACATCAGATTCAGAATAGTTTCTATTTAAACATGATAATGAAATAGACCCATAGGCAAGGCTCTTGTACGATTTAGGCATTTGTAGTTGTATATGTATGTATGACAAATGAACGAGTTTAAAGTGAATTTAGTTAAAATTAAAACACGAGAAATATTTGAAGTAATAGTAGGTTAAGTATCTCTGTGTCACGTGGTTTTCTTTGTTTACCTTTAGTTAATTACCTAAACAGATGGACTATAGAGGCTCATATTCATGAGCAGCATTTCGCGACCCGCGACGCGGCGACTGTAGCGCTGCTAGTGTTCCTCGACAAATTATTACGTGAGTAAGCCGAAAACATAATAATTTATTTAGTATGTCTCACGAAAATCACAATACAACTATTTTAGACTCTTTACTTTAAAGTAATTTAATTTTCTGAATCGGAAAACAATGAGGCTGGCTGACATTATTTGAGACTATTTTACACTTACGTCCGTCTCTGCCTGTATGAGTTACAATATACATAATAATAAACAGCCATGTTTGCAGATTACTAAACTTTAGTTTACGACCGTTCCAGACATCTTAAGTCATTAAGGAAGGTCTAAGTTCAGCAGTTAATGTCTTATAATTGATAAGAAAATGGTGTTGATGGGCCTAAAACCATAACAAAAGATCAATATCTCAATAACCTCAGTCGTCAGTTAATTTTTCAAAACTAGACTGTCCGTTAAATCTCTGGAAGTATGGACCCCACATGTAAGTATAATTTCAATTTCCGAGAGACGCATTGCACCTGATTGTGGAACATTGGTATTAGGATACTATTCCACAATGGACTCGACGAAATTTAGGAACTTCATGTTTTTCCATAAAATCGTAGTTGTATGTTGACAGAGCCATTAATAGCAGTTAGGAAGATTAAGCTGCGGAATGCACACAAAAATATTATTGATAGTATTATAATGTACGGTTTTTGACGAACGGCAAACTATAGGAGAAGAGTTGTTATTATTAAGTATTAAATTAATTAAATTACTAAGATTGTACTGAAGTTCTTTTGAGTCCCGTGTATTAAGTGGTGCGAATCTTATGGCCTGTACATTATACATAGCATATAGCAGGGACGAATTCTTACTCAAATTAAGTATCTATCGAAAAACCGAAAAAGCGTTTTATGTGATAACTTGATAAGCCTGTAAACGAGCAGACAGATCACCTGATGGTAAGCAATCGGCATCGCACATGGACACTCGAAATGAAATGAAATGATATACATACTGACTGCACGGTTGGTGCGGTGGCTGGGCAACCGGCTGCCGTGCAACGTGTCGCGGGTTCGATTCCCACACGGGACAACACTTTGTGTGATCTACAAATTGTTGTTTCGGGTCTGGGTGTCATTGTGTATGTGAACTTGTATGTTTGTAAACGCACCCACGACACAGGAGAAAATCCTAGTGTGGGGCAAAGTAAAAAAAAAAAACAAATAAAAAAGCTAATAATGCAGGTGCAACATACTGCGCAGTGTTGGCGAACATGCCCGATCCGAATGGAATTATTTATTCACTAATCAATCAAGAAGCCATCTGATCTGTAGCCTATATACCTATTTTTAACCTCACAAAGTCCTAATTCTTAAACAAAGTACAAATTAAGGTGAACGTCCTACAGCAGCGAACCATGATCTATCACAATCCGTCAACACTCCATACATTTGGGCCGAACCGACCACTGTTTTCTACTGATAAGCTTTATTAGCTGTCAAATACCAAATTGACTGAGATACTGTTTCTAACTTAGGAGACAAATTGTGCTCAGTAGCTTAGTTGATACTTGCTACTGAATATTAATGGGCGAACTGTTATAGGACTGTAATAGAAAGAAGAAAGAAAGAAAGAAAAACCATTTATTTTTGCGCAGAATACACATAACATAATTAATAAATAAAATAAAAGCTAAAAAAAATTAAAAATGAAATTAATAATGAAATGAAATCTTATCCATGGTCCACAGACTCATTATTTTACTAAAATCATACAATTACATAATATCTAATATTATCTGTGGACCATAGACAAGGAACACCCTACTTACTATTACTACATATTTAGCCTAGTATCCAGTATCTAGTTTAAAATAGGGCGCTACAATTTTAGGAACACAGATTACATTTTCACATCATATTGACAGACTATAAGTTGGTACCGCTGAGCCTCTTCTTGCATGGAGAATGTTGAAATTTTTTGAATTTCATTTTTCACTCTTAAATATTCAAATTTCATTAATTCATTAAAAAAAATTCATTAAAAATCCACTTTTAAATATTCAAAAACTAAAGTGCGACTATCGCCCGAATACTGAAAGGGTACTACAATTTTAAGTTGTACTTAAATATCATGCCTTCTCAGTCATTTTACAAAGAATTTGTAGAGACAGAATTAGACTTAAGCACGACTTAAAATTGAGTAGCGTTTGAGTATTTCAACGTATATCAGATTAAATTGATTATCCCAAATACTTAAGTAGGTATTTTATCCCTAAATGGTTATCAAATAAGGTACATTTTTCTACGAAAATATAATATGATAAAAATAATAAAATCTTTCTCTAAAACCTTTTAGGATTACGGTCTACTGATGGTGTTAGGATTAAGTTCAGGATTACTATTTTATTTATTTTCTTGTTTTAACATCGAAATAACGGGTTCAGAAAATTTCACTGAGTACTGGGTCATTCATACATACATACATACATAACTTCACGCCAGTACCACATGGAGGTAGGCAGAGACTATGGAACGCTAATTGCTACGATTCCTACATACCTCTTCCGATTTATCAACAGTCATCAATATTTTCATGCATTTTCGTCGGTTAAGGGTACCTACTTTTAATTTGGCCCTTCTTAGTAGATATGGGTAAGTACATATAATAAAATCGTAGGAAAGTCAAAACTGTACATTGAATATTTTTTTAAAAGATTACTTGAGCCGTGATCCTCATTCGATATCAAAGCCAAAAATAAAGTTTTTAGAATGTTTGTTTGTATATTTGTCCGGGCTAAACTATACCTAAACATAATTCATAGTTTTAGTTCAAATTTTGCATGAATATCATAGTATTATATTAAAATAATATAATACTAACAAGTTGGGTCAACATAATTAACATAACATCACGCCTTTAATCCCCGAAGGGGTAGGCAGAAAATCTTTATGTATAAAAGTTGTGATGTTATGTAAAACTAGCTAAGTCAGTGATTACCATCAAGACCTATCAATACGATTTCTTACCACTTCGAGA